ACTGGTCTAACATACACATACACACACACACACACATACAGTTGGTATAGGAAAGGGTTAAAGCTTAACTCAGTACAGAAAAGAGACATAAGGAATGAAATTTATGAAACCATTTGCATATTCAGCAGATCTACACCTGAGGGAAACGTCAAATTCTTAGTTCAAGAAAGGTGTCACTGATACATAATGTATCAATTAATAAGACTAAGTTTGATACTTGCAAGTCTCGTCTGTCTGAAAATAGATTCCTGATGCAATCTTAAGGCCAGTTTGAGTCAGAGAATCTTGGTGAAACGGAAAGGTCAAGGCCGAAGCCTGGCACGAGCTTAAGATGTTCTGGAGCGTTGGAGCGTCTTATCGAAACCTAACAGAACCACCGACTGGGAGGGTCCCTGGAGGGGGGCCTTTAAGGTCGGAGAAGATCCCCGCCTCTCAAGATGGGCTTGCGGGCACCAGAAGGCACCCAGCATTGCCACAATGCAAAACCCTTCTACAGAAAGCCCCTAGCCCTAGCATGGTAATTTGTAAATGAAACTCGAATACAAATTATTAAAGACTCTTAGAACACTAATATGTTGCGTAGGTGTAAACATACAATATACACTCTCAATTAGATCATCCGAATACGAATTCATAGGTACTAAACATGGTAAAGTTATATATATATATGTAAGCTGACAGGAGTGTGTTTCGATTATAAGCCTGCATAACAGTATACAATTTCAAAGACAAAATACACGATGACAATAATATACCCAATGACCTGAAGGATCATGTGTGTTCATTCAAAGAAAGGTTTTCCTATTAATTAATTAGCAAAGAAAAGTCCTTCTCTTGTGGATTTTCCCTATGGGCAAGGAAGCGATTTTCTTCACCTAAATTCCAGGAGGTCGTAAATGTATCAGGTGTCAGGGTTACCATGGAACCAGGGGCCTGTTTGGCTTCCTGGGGTGTTACAGAGTATTTGTTAAATCTAGCTAACAAAATATATATTGTGTGTTTGAGTGGTCCAGACGCTACAATGTTTATTTCCTACAAAAAAAAAGAAGAAGAAGAAGAAGGTAAATTAAATTATCCTAATCTAATATGGATAGTTTTGGCTCTGAATATAGATAAGATGAGCTGTTTCTTGCATAAACTGCATAGTAAAAAAAACAAAACATTTGATACATTTCTACTATTGTACATTATATACACTTTCAGCCCTGGTTTGAGTTTACAGTATATGTTTCCTGTATACTGTATATATATTCCTCTGCACTGTACATATTTTATTGTATGTATTTTGTTTACTTCTCACTTCACCTTTCCCTTACGGGAATATCTAGAAGAAGTGACGGTCTCTTTACTGTGAATAATCCTTGTGCTTTTATTTTGCTGCCACTCCAGAATAAAACAGTATATAGGGAAGATTGCATTGCAATTTCACTGAAATCCATGTGTTGGCTAACAGCTCATTTCTCCTACTAAATTATTCAGACTTGAAAAGCTGGGCCTATTTACTTGCTTTTGCTTTGGTAATATTTTACATGCAAGTCGTCAGGAGAGCATACATAATTTACTTTGTGTTGGCCCCCAAAGAAATTTGAATGTTTTTTTCTTGCGGGGCTGTCATGTGTGATATTTTTCAACTTTAACTTGTTCACAAGTAGCTTAAACAAAAGCATGTGTAATGGTACATGACATGTTAGAGGCCAAATTCAGTCACATGTTTTCTGGAAAAGAATGAGCAAATGAGCTTCAAAGAGGAAGCAGAAGCACCATAAAATCAGCATATAAGTATATTTGTTGAATATTCCAAGTCATTTAAAGCCATATGATAGAGTTACAGTATGTGACCAACAGACTGAAATTGAAGTAATTTGAAATTAATCATAAACTTGTGAACCAGATCAGTCCATTTCATGAATCAGACTGACTAAATAAAAAGATCCAACTCAAAATATATCATAATATAGATACTATTCATATATGTACACTACATATACAAATTTTAATTTGGGGATTTTATGTGTTAGAAACTTGTATCTTCATACAAATATGTATGTTATGTATGTGTGTGTGTGTGTGTATACATATACATGTATACATATACACCTTTTAATTTGGGGATTTTATAAATGTTATAAACTTGTATCTCCATCTACCCGGAAAATGTACATATGTGAAAGTGATATATCGCGTATATATTGGTAGCACAAAAGTTATTTTGAAAGAATCGGGCCAGTCTGTTCTTCCAAAATTCACCTCTTGTGTTCCTCTGAAGAAAGAAAGTCATAGTTGTGATTTGGAGTGACATGCAAGTGAGTAAATTATGACAGAATTTATATTTTTGGATGAATATTTCCTTTAAGGCTTAAATAGCAAATATACGTGTGCATGTAATAGTAAAGAACACTATGTTCCCACAAAGAGGCTGAATAGGAGAGAGAAATTGGTGGGCATGACATGGGCCACAGGCATTTTTTACTCAGCTGAAATAGGCAACGCTCAGGAGAAAAGGAGAGGTGGAAGCAAAAATAGAGATGGCAGGAATAGCAAGATCATAAAACAAAGGGTTGGAGGGGAGAGCGAGTTCAAGAAAAGGAAATCACAAAGTGATGTGAGTCTTCCAAAAACTCCCCATTAAGCTCCAATGACATTAGAAGCTCAGGAGCCAGGTAACAGGAAATGGATTTTGTAGAGTTGACAGAAGAACTGATTTTTTGTATTCAGAGGATTAGATTTGGTTTGGTTTTGGTTTTAGAGATGCCCCAAAACCCCACCTCCTATATTGCAATTTGAAAATTTCAAACAGCTTATTTATTTTATGTAGTATAAAAATAAAACATTTTTATATGTGTTTACAGGAGCATTATGGAACTTTGGTCTCTTTATCGCCAGTTAATTACAGGGTGTTTTTTATCCTTCATTATAATACTGACATTTTCTTTATACTTTTCCAGTTACTATTATGATTTTTTTTTTTTTACTTAAAAAGTAGTACACCTCTAAATCCAACTTGATTTTATGATTTAATATGTTATAATCAACAATATATGCGTGTGTGTATATATATATATATATATATATATATATATATATCCTGCTAATGCTGCTAATAACAACATTTAAAATACAAGCAAAACACCTGTAAAAAAGCAATATGAAAAATTTATTCCAATTAATACAGTACATTGTGCCCTATTTTTGTGTTTGTTTATTTTAGGGATGCACCGAAATGAAAATTCTTGGCCGAAACCGAAAAAGAGGAAACCAAGGCCGAAAACCGAAACACCGAAATAAATTATGCCAATTATTAGTACCATTGCATTTATGGCTAGGACTGTGTACTAACTTTACTAAAATCAAGGCATTGCAATTGCATAAATTAATATTAAAGTTTCAAAGAATAAATCAATTACAAATTATGGAAATATTTATTTAGCACATTGCA